TAGACAAATAAAAGTAGTTGCGAATAATGCATTATTATTTTCTGTATGACCAGAAATGATAGACTAGTTTAAGTTGTTTCCACTGTTGATAGGAAAATGCAAGTGTTTGCGCCCGCGAAAAATTTGAAAGGTAATGGAAACGCGGCTATTAATAAGCTTGACATTGTTAAGATTATTATTAAGTCACATTGAATATTGATTACTTGGTTAACATACCCTTTTAAATTGCAATGGGATTTGTGGTGCTGGTTTCGGTTGGCCACGATTCCTATTCCTGTGTAGACAACCACTGTTCCTGGTGGCCTTGGGAGTGAGGTCAAGTGCGATTGGTCGGTCGGACCATGTAATTACCGCTTATATGCCTATAGATGCCGCTAAACACCACTAAACTGAGATATTCATTTTTTCAAAGCAATAGTTTTAACAGTTTTACAGATGTAATCAGATGTTATCGCGGGCCGCCAGAAATGTTTCGGCGGGCCGCCATTGGCCCGCGGGCCGCACTTTGAGAACCTATGGTCTAAGGAGTTTAAGACAGGACTTATCAGTTGGTAACGTGATAGACTGCATGTCTGTTGCTCTTTTTCACTTTACTCCATCCTTACGCAGGTCTCGTTCCCATCGGAGCTCTCGCAGACATTACAGTCGTTCCCGTTCACGCTCCCATTCTCGCCGGAGACGTTCACGCAGCCGTTCATACAGCAGTGAATACCAACGCCGCCGCAGTAGTCACAGTCACTCTCCCATGTCCAACCGTAGACGACATGTTGGTGACCGGGTGAGACAAAGAGTCAGTTCCATACGTGCCATTTTTTTCAAACAAAATTTGCATGATGTTTTTTGTACTGCTGTCTTCTAATCTGTAATGTTTTCTTTACCTTTAGGCAAACCCAGACCCAAACTGCTGCCTGGGAGTGTTTGGGCTGAGCCTGTACACCACAGAGAGAGACCTGAGGGAGGTCTTCTCCAAGTATGGCCCTCTGAGTGATGTCTCCATCGTGTATGACCAGCAGTCTCGGCGCTCCAGGGGTTTTGCTTTCGTCTACTTTGAGAACAGGGAAGATTCCAAAGAGGTGAATTCTCCAGTTGAATGGATTGTATGGATTTACTTAAAGTGAAAGGCTGTTTTGTTTATACAAGAAATTCCACCTTTACTGAAATTGCAAATTGACAATTTTATGCAGGTTTTTCCAAATTGTTTGATTCAGAAGGTTAAGTTATTCGTAATTTCCTGTGTATTGATTCTAGTATGCTGCATATTTGACAAAACTGTGGTTTGTCAGTAGTGAAGTTGCATTATGCAGTTTATTTTATTGAAGTACAGTACAGAATGTACTGTTTCCTCCAGCTATTTTATGGCCAGCAATAAAAACACCTGGGATTAATGGCCTTAAGCAGAAGGAATATTGAATGCTCAGTATGGGTTATTCTGGTCTGTTTTGGTTCTAGGCTAAAGAGCGTGCAAATGGTATGGAACTAGACGGCCGCAGAATTCGAGTCGACTACTCTATTACAAAGAGGCCTCACACACCTACTCCTGGAATATATATGGGCAGACCAACATAGTGAGTCTGATTCCTTCCTGTCTGTTTAATCTCACTCTTGTCAAATGATTCATCTTAATTTTGTAGATATGGGGTGCAAAACTCAGCTCCTGGAGTTGAAGCTAAACTCTGCAGGACTGTGGCCCTCCGGGAACTGAGTTTTGCACCACTGTTCTAGATGATAAACACTGATAGTTGTGAATATCAATTGATCTCTCTCTCTCACGGTAAAAAGATTTAATCAATGTTGAGCCCAAATCATTTTTTTTTCTTCATGTGCAGTGGCGGAGGCCCGAGTGTAAGTCGTCGCCGTGATTCCTATGATCGAGGCTACGAGCGTGGATATGATCGTTATGATGACCGTGACTACTACAACAACAACAACAACAACAGGTCATACAGGTGATCCCCTACATTTCAGCTATCTGTGTGATGTGTTTTTAACGACCATTCTTCATGGTACAACACTGAGATATCCTCTCTGCTGGCCCAGTAGCTCAGATTTGTGCTTACTGTACGTTCACACCACCGCCCTCTCGCCGCCCTGCCAGCGACGCCGTGGAAAGATTCGTGGACGTTCTGATGCTCTGACGTAGATGAATGTTTGGTCTTTTTTAAAACTTTATTTAAAGGGGCCGTAAAGCAAACAAGCATGTCGATCGTTATTTTTGCAGAAAATTGATCGATGGAAAGAACTTAACAATTATAGTGACATGTTTGCTAACGAAATAAACCAATTAAAAGCCATTTGTGTGGTGTGGCTTTTGTGTTCATGGTTAAGTGCTATTCTAATTTGCATTCCTGCTGAAAAACAAGCGTTCTAGCGCGAAAATCTTGCCTATAAATAGTGTTGTGCGCCTTCTTATCAAATTCAATTGATCAACCTCTGCTCTCCTCTATTTTGCTTGGGAACTAATGTGGTCGGAACCAAAGTTACTTGACTGCGTTCTCTGGAATCCTCTTAAACGGAGCACTTCTGCATTCCGATTGGATGCCGCCGAACCGCGTCATAGCTCATTACCATAAAGTTGAGCTGATTTCAACTCCTCGCCGCTCTCAACGTCCAAGACGCGCCGCGCCGCCCTCGCCGGAGCTCGCCGCCACTTCCGGCCACTTTGACGCTCTCGCCGGCGGCGGTGTGAACGCACAGTTACCTGGCTGATGTTGTCACTTTTTTCACTACTATATGTATTATTTTTTTTAATGGTTTAGTATGCTACAGTTTGAATGTCACCTCTTTGTTATGAGCTGTAAATGCTGGTGTTTTCATTAAATCCCAGCTTTCTGTTCACAGGAGAAGATCCCCTTCTCCCTACTACAGCCGAGGAGGACCATACAGGTCACGATCACGCTCTCGTTCCTACTCTCCTCGTAAGTACTGCACAAAGCCAAGTTCAATAAACTTGAATGAAAGTACTTTGTATTGTCTACCTGACTTTATGGTTTGAGAGTGTTTAATCTCAAAGCAGTGTAAGTGCTCTAGTGATTTGTGACGGATGTGAAAGCAAACGAATCCTTTATATTTGTTTTTACAGGTCATTACTGAAGTGAAGTTCAACTCTTTTCACCCTTCCTGAAGATTATGATGACAATGACATTGTTGATGACGTAGATGTTTATTTCTGGTGGCATGAGTTTGGATGTACTTTAAACTCAATCCCTTCGATTTCTTGCCTAAAGGTTTCATGTGTCTTTGACCGGTCTGGATGTTTCAGTAGTTGGATGAATATTTTTGCAGTGTTGTTTTTTTTCCATTTCTGACCTGATGCAGAATTTATGTTTATTTTATAATATGATAGTGTACGACTCACACCTCATTGTTTTTATGCATTTTAAGCTTAGCGGTGGTCTTGCAATAAAATGCTTTATACCTCCCACCTGGTGTGAGTTTATGCTTGAATCACTCAAAACATGAAATGTGTATGATTTTATACCTAAATGATTGAATTTAAATTTCTTGAGAAAAGCTACAAGCCATTGTCTTGAAGTTCAGAATCAGAAAAGGGAGGTGATTTCATTGCGGAGTTTATGGACAGCATATTTATGTAATGCATACAAATATTCTCTTGAGGCATTTGCCTTAAACTGTTGAGAAATTAATAGGTTTATTGAATAGGATCACTAGAACACCAGTGCCTGAAAGAGCTCTGTTCCAATTTAAGTCTAGTTACCTCAGAGAATATATTGTTAATAATAGTATCAACTGAAATACTTCTCCAGCATGTGTAAAAAATTTAGTTTGGAGTACTCATGGATTTAGCATTAATTTGGACCCGGTGTGGGTGTCTGCATTAGCTGACCAATCTGGGATTCCCTTCCTTTACTGTACCTGGCTGTTGGAGGGATTTGAGTTGTCTTTCTGAAGATCTGGAATCAGTGTCATTAACATACTCTGTGTTTTAAGCACAACAAACTCAGTAACTGTTGTCAATTTGGTTCTAGATTATGCTACAGTATTAGTTAAGATAAAGCTGCTCTAAGACATTTGCTATATGGCACTGCTGCATTTGGACAATTATATTGTTGCAGGGTCTGATTTGGAGATCTGATAAGTGCTGTATGAAACACTGATCGATCGCTGATGTGATGTATAGACATACAGAAATCAGCAAAAATATACAGGGCTAACAATTCAAAGGTAAAAGTGCACTCCAAATGCCATTGCCAGATTGACTTTCAACACTTTTAATGAATGAAATCTAGATATTGCATATTAAGTGGTTATCTTTGGGTGTGTATATATATATATACACATTACACACACACGGGTATAGCATGATGAAAAGATTTTGCTCAAATATTATAATCATTTATGATAGGCGTTTACCACAGTCTACATAAGTGGAATTAATGCATTGCTTTCATATATAACGAGCATGCTCCTCCTAAAACATAATTCCATAAGGTTTCTTCACATTCCTGTTTCTTTTCCATTGACGTGGGCGTTCCCATTTTCCAGCTGCTATTCTCTTTGGAGGCTGTGCTTACGGTTTTACAGCCCTAATTATTAATAGTAGATGAAATTTAGAATCAAACTCGAGAAGTGTAAAGCAATATAAAACAAACGAGTTATTCTCTCAAGGGAGTGGGACCCAGGAAAACGCCCATCAATCCACAACACCCTAAAGATGTCAATCAAGCTGTCAATCACGACTGTAAATGAAAGTAGCCTCGGCATGACTCAAATACACGAAGGCTACATCCGTTTATTAACACAAGTTTAAGGGCTGTAGATTATTTGTCACTACTGTCTTGAACAGACATTCTGTAAGTGGATTTAAATAAACTAAACCCTCCTGTGTTGCTCACGAGTCTCATCATTATGCCTTATCCAATGATTTATGCTGGCAAATTGAACACTAGAAAGACCATAAACACCTCAAAAGTAATTTTGTGATATTAAAGAGCGGTTTTATTTAGAGGCGGCGCTTGTTGCCAACAGAGTAACGTCGCAACGACACTTTTTTTTCAATCCCAGTAAAAGAGTTTGAGCAGGAACATAGTTGTGTATATGTAGCGGGGGGTCCGGCTGCATCTGGGGGGTGACTGCTGATTTTCAGCACATTTATTTTTATTTTATTTTTCTATTTTATTTTATCCTTGTTTTCCTTACTTCGAGCAATCCATTGCACGCGCGCACACGCCGATATATTTGGACGTTCATATTTTCGTATAGACCATGAACAAACTCTATGTGGGGAATCTGAGTCCTTCGGTGACCGTGGAGGACCTGAAGCAGCTCTTCGGCGAGAGGAAGCTTCCCGTGACCGACCAGGTCCTGCTCAAATCCGGCTATGCCTTCGTGGATTTCCCCGACCAGAACTGGGCGATTAAAGCCATCGAGACTCTGTCCGGTAAGTGCGTTTTTCACATCGCGGAAAGTCACGGGTATATGTGTATATATCTGGGAGTGACACCGTAAAATACTTTCTTAGAAGAGAAAAGAAAAAGTATCGCTCGCGCATCAGCCGCGCGCTACTCCAGTTCTTCACGCGAGCGGACCAGTGCGCGAATGAACGCCCGCGAGCTCAATCACACTCGCGCGCGCTTCCAATACGCGATACAAGTTGGATTTATGATATAATTATTCAAAATACACGCTCGTTTCGACAAGACGGGGTACTAAACGCGGGCTATTTCTCAGCCGTCGGCCCACAGGAATGTATCGGATGGGTCTGATGCTCGGGTGGTAGGCATAATTATTTTTCAGTTATTTTTTGTCTTGATTTTATTGAAAAGAAGCGAGCGAACTGAGCGAGGGGAAGGCGTCACATGCATGTTCCTATGGTGTCCAGGTATGTTTTTACGAGGTGTCTTGAAGGTGGGTGATGGGGGTCTGGAGGAAAGTGCTAATAAACAGGTAGCTGGGGGACGGAGGTGAGATGCCAATTTTTTTGCTGCGCCAGGCCACTAACAGATGCACAACACCGATATTCTCTTTGCACGCTCGCGAGTCTTCGTGAATGCAACAGAAAAGTAACGTTACACATCTAAACCTACTTGAAGAAACAGGACAAATTTAGGCAGAAGAGTCTTATCCTTAAACCTCCCATTCTTCAAACTCTCCTCTTTGCTTGTATGTGGTTAGTGGGAGTGGAAAGCATGGCTGCCCATTCTTATCGTATCGGCTCAAGCATTTCGCATAATATCATCAGGCATTTTAGGAAATGTGGTTAACATTACACCTTACATGTAGACATGATAAAACCCACTTACGTCGCCGACGTACATTTATAAGCACTTGCACGTGTGATGTATCGCACGTATTTACGTTTCACGCACGGTTGTTTGTTTTACAGAAATAGCCTAATAAAAAAGCTGAAATATATCAGCTGTTTCGATAATGCACTGGAGGATTGTAAAATTGTGATCATCTGTTCTTTTTTTTGCTCGCAGGGAAAGTTGAATTACATGGGAAAGTGATCGAGGTCGACTACTCAGTTCCTAAAAAACTAAGGTAATAATTTGACTTTATTTATATTCTTTTGCAATGCAAGCATGAAGTCTGCTGTATTTGGAAGTTGGTTGTGAAGCTGTGATGTGTAGGGCGAAATTGAAATTTAATTTGAGATGCTTTTTGTAGGCTATATGTTCTCAAGTAATTTACTACTTTTTTCTCTTGGCTGTTTATCTTATTGGCAGGGTTAATGAGCTCGTGATTTTTTGCATTCCATTTTACGCACTGTGACTATCACACTTGACTCAAAATACGCTGTCTTTAAGTGATTCAACTGTAAAGCACTCTGAATGTATGTCAGGTATAAAAAAAAGGAATACTGATATTGGGTGTTTTCTTTGCGTTATCTCCGACTGCTATCATTTTTCCCCTCACAAAAAGCTTAAACACACCGTGTTTTAGGCTATGTGCAATAGATCCAGGGTGTGAATGCAAACATGGCAATGAAGTTATAACCAACACATAATTGAAATCAGAAATTACGCCCTTTTTTCTGATGCGTGAATTGTACTAGAGCAAGATCATTGTGCATGACCTCATGGCGCGTGTTTAGGCCCTTCCGTGGCCCACGTGATTTCCCCTATAGGCCCTGCGTGTGTGTTCCACGGGAGGGCGGCATAGAAATGGCTAGAGAACAGCCCCACAACCTTGAGCATTAAGGGCTTACGTAAAACTACATGTAGCCTACAGAGACTTAAAGTTTACATCAAGTGCACGCTTGTTGTGGCGTTTTCTCGTCAGACAAGTCGTCAAAAAAAAACCCAAAAAACGTTTAAATCGAAAAATAATTATTGGTTTAAAGGTGTGAGTGAGTTATTTCGTAAACCACAATCATACTGGTATCTGTCGCCTCAAACTCGGGGTGTGTGTTGCATAAAGTGCGCAGTCAAGATGGCCAGTCTTTGATTTAGAAGAGTCGGCCATGCTGCTGCTAGACTCAACCTAACATGACTGAAAGCAGCATGCACGAGCAGAACGTGTGTGTGTGTGTGTGTGTGTGTGTGTGTGTGTGTTTGTGCATGAAGCTCGTTCTGGAACGTTTCACGCAGTTCTAGAGTGCGTCTAGAATCCGAGGCGTAATCTGAAGCAAACTGGCGCGGCTCAAGTTACATATGAGCGATATCTGGACATATTTCTGTCGAGATATAATCCTCACACATAAGGCGCATATGTGTTTTATATGTTAGGTATGGTTTATTAGTCTCCCATGCCCAGTGATAGTAGGCATTTCAGTTATTATTTACATCAGGGTTCATTTTAGTTCGTAGTATTGAGTAATGCTAATAAATAGTCAACATTAGGCACGTGACGTTATTCAGTGGTGCAGCACATACGTTTGTTGTTGCTGTTGTGACTATTAACTTGGACACAGTGTAATAATGAGATGTGTGATATCAATATTTCACTGAAAAATCGAAAAATGCAGTTAAATGTGTGCTTATTAACACAGATGTTGTTTTAATATACATATAATTTTTCATATTTTGGTTAAATACCTTATGATAGCCTACTTGTTAAAAGTAAATAATTTACGACTTTTTTCACAGCGTTAGGCCTAAAGAAAAGGGCATTTTGGAGTATGAGGCGATATTTTACATAAACATTATTATTAATTTATTAATCAGATTTTTCATACCCTGACTTGTTTACAGAATTGTTGGCTTTAATTATACTATGTTTTTTTTTCTAGAAGATTTTCCAAAAAAGATATACACTAAATTCATTTTTTGTTTACTAAAGTGTTCTCTATTAGAAGAGACTAAAATTAGTCAAAAATCAAAGTCTAAATTAGCCTAAATAAATTAATATTTGAATTGGATTTGTTTATTATGGTATATTGCATTTGGTGAACAGACTTTACAATTTACAGAAATAATTAAAAGAAAACATGCTTTTTACAGGGTTGAATTCTTTGTGAAATATTTTAAGTAGTTATATTATGTCTGTTTTTTAAATACATTATATTACATGTATGTGCAATTTAATATAGCATGTACAGCAATGTTACAATATTATCACATAGCATATGGTGAAATAGATATAGACAAATTACATTTTAAGTGAGTATTGTTTTTGCCATAATGCCATATTGATCTAGTTACTAACCATTGTTTGATTGTATACCAGTGATCCACTGTTTTCAGTGGCCCATTGCTTTTTTATTTTTTTCACGAATCAAGCTGTTAAACAAGTCAGACCAGGATTTTAACTTTTATCTTTGAATGTTGAGTCAGCTGTCTTAAAAGCAGTTCTAAACATTATATATCATTTTAATAATTCAATCTAACAAAATAGATTTGTGAGAATTATCAGTTTATTTTCTCAGTTTGTTGGTCTAACTTGAATAATCAGAATGAGAATTTGTAAGAGAATTATTTAAAATTATATTTTTCTGAATTGGTTTTGGATATCTATTTAGATCAGAAATGTTCCAGTATTTTTTTTTCTGTGTATTTTGTGAAAGATCTATTGCAGTGGTTTTATTGGTTTACAAAATCTTTTGGAATAGCAGCTGTTCTTTCCATTGATGTATGTTACTTTTGGATTGTTCAATTTGTGGCTTGCAATAAGCAGTGCTTTGCTGAGCAGCCTGTGCTCCTTTCAGGATTCTCCCTGTTTTCCTGTGATGTTTTATTTTGGAGTGGAGTCCTGTGTATTTGCAGTAAGGGAGTAGAAGCATGAGAAGATATAGGGAAGTCAGAGCTGCACGTATGCATTAGATAACATTTAATGTTGTAAAAAGTTCAAATGTTCCTCCAGGGCTACTAAAATATTGTGTCATTTGAATCTGTTTGAAATGACACATTTTACAGTGCATTGATAATGTTTTAAAATTATCTGAAATGTGTCCAACATATTTAAATTCACATCAATGTGCTCACAGTTTAAATATGAATTAATAGCTTGTTTTATGGCTGTGCAATTAGTTGCTAGATAGATAACAGTAATTAACCAGATATCTTTAATGCATGCCCTTGTTATTGAAGTGTCTGTTTTTGTGAATTTATTAAACAATCTGGTTTCTCAACCACCAGGGAAGGTTTAGACATATTTCCTATTTTCATTTGTCATATCTTGATGCTGTGCTTGTGTGGTGGCAAGTCTGATATTTTAATTATCTAGTTTGTTAAGGAATGATTCATTTTTTTATTGATCTGATAAAAGGGTTGTTATTTAGCCAAATGAGTTTAAATCTTGCAGTACAAACATTCATATTTAAATTCTAGTGTATTATTTAACAGACACAAATTGATTATAGAAAATATGGTTAAAAAAAATAATAATGCATTTTATTTAGTTGTTAATGGTTTTTAAATTGAGTGAAATTGTTACTTTATTATACTGATGCTCTGTAAGTTTTCCCTGATTATAGTTCTTACAATCAAATGATTTGTTCTGTGAGTATTTTTAATCTGTTGATCATGATTTTATTGACTTGAAAGGCAGTTTAAATTACAACTTGTTACCCCCTATTCTTTAATTCCCAATAACCTTGCTTATCTGTTTTCAGTTTAAATATTTAGTTATCTCACATTTATCTCAGAATGTTTGTAAAAGGATAGACTGTAGATTTTATGGCTATATCTGGATGGCTAAAAATGATCCACCCAGTTCAAATGTTTTTTCTCCATTTGCTCATGAGTTGAAGAGATTGAGATGATGAAGTCTAAGAACAGAACTGTAAAGTCGAAGCTGGAAAAGTGGGTTATGAAGTTGAACTCTCAATAGAGAACTAGTCACAAAGCCCAGGGGCATTAGGGTATCAGAGATGAGGTTGATTCAGTAATACCCTTTCCCCCCATCACAGCTTCATGTATTGTCACTTTATATTGCAAACAAATGACCTGTAATAATACAGTATTTGTGCAAAATCATAAAATATCATTGAAACGACTCATGCTTGCTTGATTGTTTCTTTTCTAAGAATAGTATGCAACGAATGTTATACTAAAAATCATATTCTTTTCAGTTTTGAATGAATACTTTAGGTACTTTTAGGTTTAAGGCATCAGTCCTGATATCATTTGTTCTCATAAACGCATCAGTAATAATGTTTAAACTCTCTGTGAATTCATTGCCTCGTCTTCTTTCACACGTTCAAAATGTGTCTGTAAGAACGTGCTCAAATAGAATATCAAATGATTTGTTCTCTGTGAATGCAGTATTTGAGTTTCAATTTGCAGAGGTTTACAACAGGCACTTCAAAATCCCCATATTGGTTTGTCAGTGTCAGTACATGCTTACCTTACGAAAGCAACCGAGAATTATTAATTTTGTTACTCTAAATCTTTTAAGCCTAAAAAAGATATTATAGAAAAAGAGGTTTCCCTATATGTGATGTGCTGCTCCTTTCATGGAGCTCGGCAAATCTATTTTACCATTAGTTGTTATTGAACTGTTACTGTACTTTGTTGTCTTCTAATCCCTCTGTAACCTCGCCTCCCTTGAGATTAAAATACTGTAACGCATATTTCCTCGTTTGTTAATCCCTTTATCGTTATAAAGGGGGCAGAGGAAAGAAAGGGATTTTATCATAAAGAATGTGAGAAAGATTGTCATAGAAGCTTTCATGCTGTAATCTCCTCTGAAGCAGCGTTGGCTGCTCTCTTCACTTGCTCTTATCAAGTGTTTGTTTGTAGACGAGCGGGCTAATGATAATGTTTCTCATTTGTTAAGTATTATTAAAGAGAGGGCCTGCTTTGAGTTTGTGCCATTGTTGAACCTGTAAACAGGTGTAATGTTTTATTTTGTTCAGTGGAGTGGATCCTGTCCTTCGAGTGGCAAAGGGCTGAAAGTTAATGTTTTTCTTTTAGCTCATTTGCTTGCTGGCTTATTTGTTGTCATTTGTGTGTTTACTTTAGCAGATTATTGTGTGTAATTGTCCCTATGGTGACAGGAAGTACATGAAAGGTGTGGGACTATAATCTCAAACTGTACTCTGACTCTTTTCCAGTACGTACACTTAATCTTCAGATCAATCTTGGTCTGTGTATGTTTCA